CACGGCACACCTTACACTATGTCACGGCACACTAGTATGCCGCGGCACAGTGGTTGAAAAACACTGCTCTAATATCCCGACTCCCCTATAGATTAGGTGCCTCTAGGGAAAATGAAGAATTGCCACTGAAATAGTCCTTGCTTCTTCTCCACTAAGAAAGCAAGGCGCTTGTCTTTGGGCTTCCATGTAACCTTCAGTTATTCTGGATAGTCTTGTTCATCTTGGATAAGCTAGGCTCCTATTAAAGCGGTCCCAGTTGATGGGCATAACTATTGTTGGCAAAGTGAAGACTAGACCGCCTTTGGCTTGGCTGGATCTTCAGGTTCTAAAACTATGAGAGATGAAAACCCCTTTTGCTTTGTGCAGCACATCACATAAGACACCTCTGTTTTCTGCCATTCATCACTCTTGCAGATGTAATAGTTCCCAACATAGGGATTTCTTCCTCACAAGGGAATTGCTTCATCTCTTCCCCTTCCAGTTCCAGATCATTCTTTTTTGAGATGTGGGGCAAGTGCTTATAGATATTTTATTAGTGGTGGGATTATTTTTGCTTTCTTAATGGCCTCCCAATATGGACTTTGTATTTTCTATACATTGTGTAGATGTCTATGTCTTGTATATATCAGGGCTGCCTCTGTCCATTTCCATTTCCTAGAAAAGAAAAATCCTTGGCTCCATAGATTCAGAAAAAGTACTTTTACTAGGAATGAAGCGAAAGCAACAAGTTTCAGAAAAGATCTGAAGCAAAGTGCTTGAAACAGCAAATAGAAGTAAACTGTAGAGCCAACCCCCTTGTAGCTAGGCAACCAGGGGGCTGCTGTATACCAAAACTAGAAAAAATAACCTTGGAGAGATAAGCAAAGCCCAGAAAGATTCTCTACTGTCTATGGGAACAAGCAGCAGGCTAGCTGACAGTATGTGCCTAGAATACATATGTAGGATAATATTTTATTGACAGATGCTGGCACAGAACAATAGTGAGCCCTTGTTTCTGTTCCATTTTTCTTTCTCTATCTCATGTAGTAAAATACCTTGAATTTTATCGATATTTTTATCAACCTCTCCTCCCTACCCAAAATATTTTCATTTCTCTATAAGTTTAGACCATTGAATGATACTTGAAGTGGGGTTGTTCGTTTATTGGCTTTGTGCTTACCTTTTTCACTTGTTTACCTACATAGAGGAGAACTTTTCCTTTAGTTAACTGGTATCAGTAGACAGGGTTTTACTTGAGAATGTTTCTTCCTCTGCCTGTTCTGGGTACTTTGTTTTAAACATGGCATATAGGTGGCATAGGATAAAAGCTAAATTGTTCTTAGGATAATACAATGTTTTAAATTCTTTTATAGAAAACAGAAGTCATAGAGGAAGCTTTTCCTGGGTAAGTGTAATGTAAACATTTTCTGATATAACGCTAGAGATTCTGTTGTAATAACTAGTGATGAAATGCTTTATAAATAACTGAGCTTTACTTGTATTAGCATGTTTATGGATACCCCAGAAGATGAGCGAACTAAATTAATCAGCTGTTTGAGTGCCTTTCGACAGTTCTGGAGCAATCTTTCCCAGGTGAGTATTTTACTTGCTAGTTTTTTAATGACATCCAGTTCCAATTCCTCCAGTAATTTCATACATTGATAGTTTTTATAAACCTAATATTTTCTATCAATATCTTGGCTACCTGTCATATCTGTAAATTCCCTGACAGAGTTTCTAACTAGCGGCAGATCCTGCTGAGCAGTTTTTGAATAGGATATTGCCATCTTTTTCTTTAAAAAAAATCCTGTCAATGTCTGTTTCTAGCTTCTAGTTATATATGGGCATTTGGGTTTGTAAGACTTTTAATTATTTTAGTTTAAAGGTTTTATCAAAATAAGAATGATACAACCCAAAACTGTTCAATTGTCAATTCTTGCACTGAGATTGCAATAGGTTGTGGGAATTTTTTATCAAGGTTAATTTTTTTAATGGTTTTTAACAAATTGTGATGTCATTGAATGTATATAATTTTTTATCTTACAGGAATCTCATGAACAGTGTGTTCAGTGGATTGTAAGATTCATACATAGTCAACATAGTCCTAAAAGAATTTCTTTTCTATATGATTGCTTAGCAATGGCTGTGGAGACTGGGTTACTGCCACCCAGGTATGTTTCTTTCAGATAAACTGCAATAGAGAAGTTATTACAGACAGTCAGATGCTTAAAGATAATAATAATAATACATCTGCTCTGCTTAGAAAAGATACCTCTCATTGTGTTTTTTCTTTAATTTTCCTAGAATGGTTTGTGAATCTCTGCTGAATTCTGACAATCTAGAATGGGAAAGGACACAGCTTTGGTCTCTGACATTTAAACTTGTTCAAAAAATAATTGGTGGTGTAGACTACAAGGTAATAACTATACATACGTCCTATTTTTATTATACAACAATAATAGCTTTTTTGTATTTTGTATCTAGCCATATACTTAAATCTATATATTTGTTCTTAAGTTTTTTAAGGCTGCTCAAGTCAAACAGTATGACTCTGGGCAGCATACAGCATATAAACCATCTCCAACCCCATATGATGTGAAATATGTTCAATATATAATATATAAAATTAAATGTCTATCATAAAGGTAGGAGATAGAGCTGTGATGGTGAACCTATGGCACACGTGTTCATGAACAGACTTCTGGTTTGCTCATAGGGCCGGTTTTTGACCTCCGGAGACTTCAGGGAAGCCTCCTGAAGGCTCCGGAGGGCAAAAACCGGCCCTACGAGCAAACTGGAAGTGACTTCCTTTTTGTCCATAGGGCAGTTTTTCGCCCTCTGGCCTGAAGGCTCCGGAAGTTGAAAATCAGCCTTTCGGACAAACTGGAAGTCACCATTCCCGAACTTCCGGGTTCCTCATGTTTTTTGCCCTTTGGAGCTTTCAGGAGGCTTCCCTGAAGGCTTTGGAGGATGAAAAATTGACCTAGGGACAAACTGGAAGACACTTCCGGTTTGCTCGTAGGTCCGGTTTTTGCCCTCTAGAGTCTTTGGGGAAGCCTAAAAAAGGCTAAAAGCGGGGTGGTGGTGCTGGTCGCATGCGACTGCAGGGTGTGCAGGCATAGCATTATGGGTGTGGCACACCCGCTCACGACCCCCCTGCGCTCCCCCCTCTTTTGGCACGGGAGCCAAAAAAGGTTAGCCATTACTGAGATAGAGCTATAGTTTACTCATAATTCACTCTAACATAGATTATAATGACTTATGAAGTATAACGGTCTGTAATGAATTCAGTTGTAGAATTGGAAAGACCTTAATTACCTGCTCCAGTGATTCTATTTTACTGATGTTACAATCTCAGTTATTATCAGATCAGTCAACAATACAAGTATTTCTAGTCATAAGGATTTATACATTTCAAATGGGTTGGCACATCCATTGTCTTTTTCAACCATTTCTGTACTCATTGTTATATGATTATATGAGATGAAACAAGCAGAATGTTAAAAAGTTACGATATTTATGTAGTTACTTACCAAGCACATCTAAATTAAAGTAACCAAAATTATCTTTACCATCCCCAAGGCATGTCACAACTTTTGAGCACCCCTAATGTTTAGAAGTTGGAAACTGAAAAATTTGACACGCCCTAAACAGGCATGCTCATCTGATTTGTAGGACCCAGATATAAAAGAAGGATTTTTAGAGGCTTGGGCCGGGGTCATGGCACAGCCCTTAGAGATAAACGGAGATATCAAATACAGAAAGTAATGTGTCATCTGCCTTGATTCTACACCATCAAGATCACTGCTCATTAATTTGTTCCTGCACATAGTTCTAAATTAGAAGAGAAGCAACTTCTAACCAGAAAGCTGAAAAACATTAACTCACCTGAAAAAATTATGCAGATGGTTGGTGTGGGTTTTTTTTTTTTTNAATGCGTGAATGCCCAGGTAATATTGCAAGAACGAATGACCTTATCAGCCAAATGTGAGCGTACCGTGTGTGTCTGTTTTACTGGAAGGATGTGCAGAAGGCTGTCTGGGAGTATCGGTGTGTGTGTGTGTGTGTGTGTGTGTGTGTGTGTGTGTGTTAGCGCTCCCGGGTGTCAACGTTACCAAACGCTGCTTTGTGTGGACAGTGCATTTGATTTCAGTTTTCATAATTTTATTTTTATTTTGTGCCAATAGGTTGGGATTTGTTTGCTTTTATTCTTGTTTTCAAGGATCTGTTTGAGCCTCAGACTGCCTTGTTGCGGTATGTGCTGGAGCAGCCCTATTCCCGAGATATGGTCTGCAATATGCTAGGCCTAAACAAGCAGGTACTGTATTGTGCTGTAATGGCTTTTCCTTTGCATAGAACCTGCACTTTTCTTTTCTCTTTTTCTTTGCTGTAGCTAACTAAGCAAAACAGTTGAGGATCAGATCACATTTTTCCTCTTCAGTATTATTACTGCCTTAGGTTAATTGGGCATGATTATTTCTGTTAACTTACCTATTGCTTTAAAAAAAAAACTTCTAAATTGAAAGATAATTTTTTTGGTTGTTTTTTTTTTAAAAAAAGGAAATTTTTTGGCATTGCTTTTTTTCCCTATAAGGCCAGCCTCAAATATACCCTGGACAGATTTCGTTCTACAGCAGACATCTTCTCCTTTAATATTGATGGATTGATTGATTGATTGACTGAAAGATGGTGGTGATAGATGCATTGCTTAGATGAAGAGTCGGTAGAATTTGTCTGTTGAATGCCTTGGCATGTTTTCATTACCTTTGCTGGTAATGAATAGTCTACTGTTAATTGATATTATTTTATTTAAATTTTTGTGTTTCTTTTTTTTTCCTTTTTTGCCTGACCATGTGGGTGGGCTTGGTCTGATTTGGGGTATCAACTTGAGGCTGGCCTCATAGTCACTGTTTTGTCTTTTCTTTTTTTCTTCCTTTATTTTTGTTCTGTCCTGTCTTGTCCTGCCCATCCTCCAATGCTCTAGACCTTGAACATTGCTCAGGTATGTTCACAACCTTACTGTTGTATTGTGACTAACGATACGCTGGCTGCTTTTTAGCCACTGATTCCAGTTCGAGAATACGCATCTGGCCAGGGCTTGAAATTAGTGGGATTTTCACATGCCATGCTAAGAATCTCTTCAAATCGGAGGCTATGAGTTTACCAAAAGATATTCATAGCCAGTTCAGTACCTGGATGAGATTTATCCATTACTGTCCAATCCCCATCGTTATTTTTGTTCGGACGGTAAAATGTCTAAAAAAAGAACCAAAGTTGCTACGAAAAGATCTAAAGAGAATTCCCTTTGTTGAATTTAACCACTATGTAAGATTTGTAAGTAAAAATTCAACTTGACTAGGAAAGGTCATTCTTAGCCTCTCTAATAAATGCATTCCCAAGAAGCTCCAAATGGGCTGAATTAGGTGGAAGAAAAAAAGGAGGAGGAAAATTTTGAAAAATTTGCAACTTTTACTTGCTGTATATGCTTGCCTGTTTGTACAGTCAAATATTGGCAATTTTAGTCTGTTTCTAATTTAACTTTATTTTAAGTAAAGTTTGATGACAATGTTTGCAATACCATAGTGAAGGTTGTATCAGTGTTTTCATTTTAAAAAAAAAAACCTTTTTATTTCATGGATTGTGCTTGACCATAACATTTGCTTGAAAATAAAACGGGTACAGTAAGTAAATAAATAAATAAATAAATAAATCCTATTTCCAAAAATTTTGAAGCCTTCCACATTATGTTGTTGTTGTCAGTCCCGAAGTCAACCCCATGGACAATGTTCCTCCAGGCCCTCCTGTCCTCTACCATCCCCCAGAGTCCATTTAAGCTCACGCTGACTGATTCAGTGACTCCATCCACATTGTAGCTGAACATACAATACTTTGGCCATAATGAAGAATCTGAGTTGTAGAGTACTGATTGTGGCAGATTGAGCTGTTGGAAGACAACAATGTCTTTTCCATAGATAGCACACAGAAAGTCCTACTTTCATATAAAACATCCTTTCCTTTATCACGGTTACATAACTGCCCAATTCAGTGAACTCCCTGTTCACTTCAAAATTACACTGCATTTTAAATCCCTTGTATGACAACATATCAGATTTCGTAGTATTGCAATTGTGTTCATTTATTGATTCACTTTTGACAGGGGAACATGCAGTGTTGCTTGATAGCCAAACCCATGGATTTCAGGAGTCTAGGGCATTCTTCATGCAAATGAGAAAGTCCTTAGAGATGCATCAGTCCATCTATTGTTATTTTCTGAAGGTATCCCTCTTCCTTAAAAAAAAGTATCACAAAATGCTTTACAAAAAATAGTATAGCAGCACAATTACAATTCATTCCTATTCTCCCCTCTGCATTACCTGAATAGGAAACTGATGTTGAGTCTTTTGGTATTTATAAATTCTATTATTCTATATGCTTTTTAGGAGATTTGCATCCCATAAAGCATATATGCATAACAGGCAAACCTGTTACATAAAATAGTAATTGATCTACAGGGTTTCCCAGAGTAGAGTTCATCATATTACTTTTAACATGTGTATCTAACTTTGTTTGGTGTCTATGGAGCTTCCTAATCATCCATATCATGGTTGTCCCAAAGGTGCTTTTCAAAAGACCAACTGGACTTTCTTGGTGTTTTTTTCCTTGAAGAAGCTTCTTGGGTGAGAAGTGAAATGTCTTCAAAGAAAAAAAAAACCTCAAGAAAATCCAGTTGCTTTTCGAAAAGCATTTTTGGAACTAACTTTGTTAGCTTTTTTAATGCTTTATTCTTGCATTTCAACTTTATCTCTGTTAAAGAGCTTTCTACAGGAAGGATTTTCTGATATAAAAAATAAGCATTACCATAAAGATCCTGAGTTTTCTATGTATGGAGTTAAAGCAGCATTCTTTCCCTTCTCTCCTTATTCAAACCAGATTAAGTGCTTAAAGGAACACAACTTTCTTCCTTGAAAGAGAAGCAAGCTCTATATGGGAAAACATTGAGCTCCAAATATTTAAACAAGATACTGTCTTGTTTAAACATTTGGAGTTCTGTGATGTTTATAGATCTCTCCCTATTGCCTCCCTGAAATCTTCTTTCAATTTTACAATAAACAAATGCTTTTGAATTAAGAATGAAGATTTTTTGAGTTAAACTCTTCAAAAATTCTAGTTTTAGAAAAGAAATTTAAAAGTTATTGCCTAATGTGAGTTATGAAACACTAAGACTTGTTATTTAATTTCAATTTTCTGAGAGCAAACAGTTATCGTCAAGCAACAAAACCCGGAATGAATGGTTCTTTTTTGATGGAAATGCTGACAAACTCTGAGTTGTAGGTGTGCTGCCACAATAACAACAGTCTGTGAATTTCTTGTTCATTTGTCAGTGGAAAGCATGGAAGGATCGTGTGTAACATTTCTTGATGGGAATTCAGAGACGATGCTGAAAATTCCATCAGCTGACTAATATTCAAATTGTGCAAACCAATGGTTGGGAAACAACCTGCTGGGAAATAGGGATTTATTGAGATCTCTTTGGTACTTTAGACTTAGAAATGCACCAGAATTGCATTCATTTGATACTGCACATTGATCATCGTGTTGACATACATAAAAATAGGAGCATGCCTGCTCATATACTCCATATG